CAGAATGGACCAGTGTGGAGGCATTTGTGATCATTGTTAGACGGAATGTGCACATTAATACCACAGATCTACTGGAACATTAGATCAGAATATGGAAGATAGACATGAATTATTGATGGTTATAAAATTCACAACAACTTCTGAGATTGCAGGGTGTTAACATTTTTGCTTTTGTGTTTTTTTGTGAGTAGCAGTCTTTAATCTTAGTCCCCTGCCTGGGCAAAAAAGATGTAACAGTACAGTTTACTACACTATAATCTCAACTCTTCCATCATATCCAAGAAAACTTCATCCTGGCAATATGCTCCAGCTTTGTAATTCACACCTTGAAAATACCCTTAGCCACTTTGACCTCTACTTCTTATTGGATATTTCCTCCAGAATTTCCATTTAAGAAGGGAGCCCAGGGCAGCAACTTCATTTCTCATCTAGCTGCTAATTCTCCATCATACCTGGCATGTATTAAGAGCTTAACAAATTCTTGTTGTTTGACTGATTTTGACACCTGGAAAAAAAATCAAACAGGTGACGGTAAACTCCAGAACTCAAAGATAAGTATAATCATGCAATTACAAGGTGCTGCATTTGTTTCCAGATACGCTGGGAACTTTATGACTTGTAGACGTATGTAAAGTAGTTTCAGATAGCTGTGAGTGCTTTATAGTAATAAATATTGGTGAAGTTCTTTCCCACTTCCTTATTTATGTGTTTTATTGCTTTTCTTCAGGTACTGTTCATATTGTCCTGATCCACAAATAGGACTCTAGAGAGTAGCAAAACTCGCCTCTTCCATCAAATTTTCCATGTCTATTCCAGTTTGAATGGATTATTTTTACTACATTGAACTTCTTTAGTATGTATATATTATTCTTTAGTGTATACATGTGTGTATGTATATATACACCCACAAAAAGAACACAAGTAGCACTCATTTTGCTGTTGAGAATGTTTGTTTAAACACGCTGAACCTCCAAAATCCTTGTCTTCCATGACCAACATCTCTGCTGCTTCATTCGCTCACAAGGTGGTGGGATGAGGCCATACCTTAGATTTTACCATCACCAAAATTAGTTTGAACTCTGAAATTATTTTTTTATCAAAATTTCTTGTCCTTCCATGTTTTCCTTTGTCTCATTCCTAAAATGAGGCCAATCTCATTCTGATTCTGCCTGAATCTCTCCCTGTTCTCCCATTTTTCTTTTCTTTCCAACCTGCAGCTGTTTATTCAGACTCTCTTGTCATTTTCTATACCAGACCTAAATCTTCATATACAGGAATTCTAGAATCCATGCCCCAAGTACCTGGGAAAGTTAATCCATTTCTCTTTAGGGGAAGCCATCTAAAGCTGAGCTATTTTAATTTTGATAGGGCATTGAGTACAAACTAGCCCACTGAGCCTATTCTGTGTATGTGGTCTCAAAACAAGATGCACCTTTACATCCCATCCAGTTGTCCATCTTGACATCAGTCTGTCTCCGTGTTCCAAGGTAGTAGGCCAGAGTAATTAAGGAAGAGAATATAGAAAGGTCAGCGATGTGAAATGCCTGGAAAAGTTGATGAGTTGACAGTGTAGAAGGCTTTGAATGCCATATTGAAGAGTTTACATTTTGTCCATGAAGGAATAAGGAACCATCAAATGATTTTGAGACAGTGAGATGGTCAGACCTGTGTTTTAGGAACATCAGTTTTGTAACTGTGTGTAGGATAGAGTAGAGAGGGAAAAGAGAAGAGTCAGTGAAAACAATTAGGAAAACTTTTAATAATCTAGGTGAGAAGTTATGGAAGGCCTAAAGTAGGGTAGAGATTATGAGTGAGAGAAAGGACAGATACAAAGATGTTGTGGAGATAGGAGAGAGAAGAGACTGTAGATATGGAGTTTGACAGATTGAAAACCCAGGTGACAGTAAGGCTACTGGTACCTCAGTGCCCTCAGCACAAATAGGAAAGTTTAAGGGAGGCTTTTGACATGGTTGGTGGGTACTTCTTACTTCTGTTTTCTCCCCCTTTGACATTTATGGCACTTCTTCTCCTGGCTTTCTTCTTATTTTTTTTCTTCTTTATTTTTTGACCCCTCCTCAGTATCCTTTGTTGAGTCATCACCCATCTTCTGTCCCCTAAGTTTGGCTGTTAACTCAAGGTTCTGTCCTGGGTCCTTTCCTCTCTCTGCATTTTCTCCCTTAGTAATCTCATCTACTTCAGGTTCACTTGTTATCTCTGTACAGATGACTTCTCAATCTATATGTACTAATCTCTCATAAACATGCATAACTAAGTACTAGAAATCTCCTACTGAATTTCCTGGATTTCCTTCTCAAACTTATTTTGCTTAAAATAGAAGCTCATTTCCTCCCCCACCCTTCTCCCCTTACCAAGTTCCTCCCCTTCTCTTAACTATTGGGGTGATTGATATCCTGTTAGTCACACAGCTTCGTAACCTCTGAGTCACCCTCACCCCCATATCCAATCAGTTCCAATGTCTTACTGATTCTCTGACTGTATAACTTCTCATCTATAGCTCCTTCTTCACTAATTTGGAAACCTTTATTTCCCGTCTTTTAATACTCTCCAAAATATGCTGTGATGAATATTTTGGTACATGTGAGAAGGGTTGTGTGTGTGTGTGTGTGTAAGTGTAAGGGGGGGGGTGTTTGTTGTTGTCTTTTACCTTCTTGAAGCATGTGCCTAGTAGCCTGCCCTTTTTGGTACCCTTCTAATGTTCTTGTGGTGTTCTCTATTGCCCCCAACTCACCTAACCACATTTGCCACCCAAGTCCACTAGTCCTTCTCTATTCTACCCTATCCTTCTAGGCATATGATTTTACTTGGTTTAAACTAAATTAATATTAAATTAATTGACAATTAGTATTTGTACTTTGATAGGGTATTATTCAAAAGGAAGACTAATTGTGGGAGGTCAGTGGAGGTGTCTGGAGGGAGGCTTCCTGGTGCCTCTGCGGTAGTACCTAACAGGCAAAATACTTTTTTTTTTTTAAACTTCTACCCATAACACTTTTAACTGAAGTTGTGAACCCTCTTCTACTTTTTAACATCCTCAGTATAAGTATTTGAATTTTATAAGGTATTAACCAGAAGAAGCCAGGTCCCTATATAAAAACACTGAGTACTTAGTGGAATGATTATATCTTTGCATAAGTCATTTGGCAGCAAATTTGAAGGTAGACTATATGGCAACATTAACTGCAGTTTTATTTAGCATGAAAGTGTCCTTAACATTTCTCATTTTCCCTCAAGAGATAAGAATATAACTTTTACAAAATCAGTGTTTTATTTTCTCAATTATTAACCTATTACTTTGTGTCTTTATTGGTTTTCAGTAGAGTAGGAGCATGGGAAAGAATAATTCTTGATAGAGAAAAGAGAAATTTAAACTTCCCAAAACTATCATGTATGCATATGTATGTACATACACACATAGTTAGCAATGTAATATAGTTGCAAATATGTACTTTAGTATAAATTATTCAGTTTGGTACTTTAGTATAAATTATTCAATCTCTAATATTACTTTTCCCACTTTTGTTTGTTCTTTTAAAACATTGCAACATTTTGTCCTTAACCTTAATCAGAGTCTGACGTGTGTTCTTTGTAAATGGCATCTTGATGTGGTATCTCTCTTCAGTTCTTTGTGGTTTCCTGTTTTTTTCATACATAGAGGACAGTCTTTGAGACATTAAGCATCATCCTTTTTTCTTATAATTGTCTTTAGTTTAAAATTCAGGATCAAACTATAGTAGATTCCTGTGTTCTAAAGAATGCAAAATAGTGTCTTTAGTATAAGTCTCATCTCTTGAGAAGCCTTGAACCATTTCAGCTCACGGGGATTTTTTTTCCCCTTCCCTAAACTCCGGTACTACTTATTCAGTGTCCCAATATTTGGCACTTGATTATGTGCCAACATATCATTTTTAGCCTTTCATATATGCATATGAAAGGCTAAAAATTACACACACACACACACACACACACACACACACACACCCTCCCCCTCCCCTTATTTCCCTATCTAGAATATGAGCTCCTCAAGGGCAGGCATGGTGGTTTGCACTGACATACCTGCATAGAGATGATAATGGAACCTATGGTAGTAGATAGAAGTAACAAGGGAGAAAATTATGTATAGAGAGAAACGACCAAAGAAAGACTACCCATAGTTAGAGGACAAAAGATAATAATGATTCAGCAAAGAAGACTGAAGAGTTGTCACATAGGTGAGAAGAAAGCCAGGAAAAGAAATGCCAAGGGAGACAAAGTATGCAGGAGAGATAAGCAGAAAATGTCTAGGAGAACCACTTAGCCAATCATTTCAAAAGCTTCCACTGTGCCTAAAATATTGCTTTCTACATTGCAGACATTCAGTAGATACTTACTGAATGAAATATTGAAGATACTATCAATTTGGAGATTATCTTTTTTTTTCCAGTGAAAAAGTTTCCTTGTAGTAGTCTATTTGGTTGTTTCTTTGGTATGTGTTTTGAACTGTTTGGATTAATTTTGTTTGACTATGATAATTTGTTACAAGAGGGTTTCCCCCACCTCTTTCTTTCTTCCAGGTTCACTTTCTAGCAAAAATGAGTATATGTAACTCTCGTTTAAACAAGTATTACCTCCTGTCTCTAATAAAAGAGCAACAAGCTTGGGCTAGAAACCTACCTACAGTCAGTGGTTAATGCTACGTACAAATACACTTTGGAAGAGATCATACTAGTCCTCCTCCCTCTCATATTTGTAAAATTAGCTTGATTCCCAAGTTCTGTTTGAAAAGCGAACTTGATTTTGGTTTCTCACATTTTCATAATGAAAGGAAAAGGAAATGACTTTTAGTGCAAAGCACAAGGAGTTACATCTCTTCTGAACTACGGGAAAATTTTCTGAACTATTTGTCTTTTAGTATATATATGTAATCATATGAATTTAAGGATTAGACTTTGGTATGTCTTAAGTGACCCTTGATTGAATTATTCATATTTATCCTCCTATAGGACTATCGTGCCATGGAAAGTATTCAGGCAGTGTCTCCATGAGGTTCATCAAATTAGCTCTGGCTTGGAAGCAATGGCTCTAAAATCGACGATTGATTTGACTTGCAATGATTACATTTCAATTTTTGAATTTGATATTTTCACCAGATTGTTTCAGGTAAGGTTTTATATATTATTCTTCCCCCCATCCACAACCCCCTTCATATATGCCAGCACACACACACACACACACACACGCGCGCGCGCGCGCACACACGCCCATACACACAGGGAAGAGGATAGAATAAACATTTATATAGTGACCTATATGTTTTAGGCATTATGCTAAGTGCTTTATAAATATTATCTCATTGGATCTTTACAACAACCCTGCAAGATAGGTACTGTTATTATCTGTGTTTTACAGTTGAGGAAACTGAGGCAAACAGGTTAAATGATTTGCCCAGGGTCACATAGCTAGAAGGTGTCTGAGGCCAGATTTGGAATCAGAACGTCCTGGTTCTAGGCCCAGCACTCTATCCACTGTTCCACCTAACTGCCTCTACAGGAACACAAAAATCTTTTTTTCTGTAAGAGAGAAAAAAAATAGCATTCTTTTCCTTTTAAATTTTGAGTTCCAGATTTTCTACCTCATTACCACTCCTTATCCACCCACTGAGAAGGCAGTGTATCAGTTATACATGTAAAATCATATAAAACATTTCCATAGGAGCCATATCACAAAAAAAGCAAAAAAAAAAGCAAGAAAATTATACTTCAGTTTGCAATCAAGAGTTCCTTATTTTTCTCTCTTGAGTTGGATGACATTTTTTCATCATAAGTCCTTTTACACTTGTATTAGATCAATATATTGATCAAAGTAGCCAAGTCTTTCACAGTTGATCATCATTGAAACATTCTTGTTACTATGCATAATGATCTCCCACTCCTTCTCATTTCACTTTGCATCCACGTATATAGGTATTGCCATGTTTTTCTGAACCTGCTTCCCTTATAATTTCTTACCCTGTGCCGATACTCGTTCAGCCATTCCCCAATTGATGAGTATTCTTTCAATTTTCAATTTTTTGCTACCACAAAAAGAGCTGCTATAAATATTTTTCTACATGTATATCCCTTTCCTTTTTCTTTGGTCTGTTTGCAGTATAGACTCCAATAGTGGTATTGCTAGATTATACAGTATGTACAATTTTATAGCCCTTTGGGCATAGTTACAGATTGTTCTCCAGAATAGTTGGACCAATTCACCACTCCACCAACAATTCATGAATGTGCCTGTTTTCCCTCATCCCCTCTCATGTTTGTCATTTCTGGTAGGTGTGAGGCAGTATCTCAGAGTTGTTTTAATTTGCCTTTCTCTAATCAATAATGATTTAGAGCATTTTTTTCATGTAACTGCAGATAGCTTTGATTTCTTCTTCTGAAAGCTACCTGTTCGTATCCTTTGACCATTTATGAATTAAAGAATTTATTATTTTTTAAAAATATTACTTTATTGTCTATGGTACCTTTTAGTAAAATGTAGTTTTCCTGTTCATCTCATTCAGTTAAACTTGATTTTGTTTTTGCCTCGTCTGAGATCATGACTGCTACTTCTGCCTTCTTCGCTTCAGCTGTACTCTGCTCCACTCCTTCATTTCAGCTCTGTGTGTGTTTGTCCCAGGTGTGTCTCTTGTATACAACATACTGTTGGATTCTGGTTTCCAATCCATTCTGCTACCTGCTTCTGTTCTGTGGGTTAACTCATCCCATTCACATTCACAGTTGTCATCACTAAATGTGATTTCCATCCATCCTATCTTCCTGTTACCTTCCCTCCCTCCCTCCCTTCCTTACTCTATTCCTCCCTTCTTCCTTTCCTTCTTTCCCCCTTTCCCTCTTTTCCTCCCTTCTTCCTTCCCTACCTCTCTCCCCCCTACCTGTTATCTCTTACTCCCTTCCCCTCCTATCTCCCTATTGGGTAAGATAGATTTCTAAACATAACTGAACCATTTTTCCTCTTTGAAGCAATTCTGATGAGAGTGAAGTTCAAGAACTGCCCACCATCCCCCCATTTTCCCCTCTTCTATAAAAGCTCTTCTTTGTGTGCCTCCTTTTATGCAAGATAATTTGCCCCATTCTACCTCTCCCTTCTCCCCTTTTCCAGTGCATCCCTCTTTCTCACTCCTATGTTCTTTATTTGGAGATCATTCTAACATATTTGACACACCCAAGCTATCTGTGCAGACCCCTTCTAACTGCCCTAATAATGATAAAAGTTCTTAGGATTTACTTGTGTCATCTTCTTATATAGAAATGTAAACAGTTTCATTCCATTGAGTCCTTTATGATTACTCTTTCATTGTTACCTTTTTTATGCTTCTCTTGAGTCTTGTTTTGAATGTCAAGTTTTCTATTTATCTCTTATCTTTTAATCAGAAATGCTTGAAAGTCCTCTATTTCATTGAATGTCCATTTTCGCCCTGAAGGATCTTATTCGGTTTTACTGGGTAGATGATTCTTGGTTGAAATCCTAGTTCTTTGCCCTCCACAATATTCCAAGCCCTCTGTTTCTTTAATGTGTAAGCTGCTCAATCTTGTGTGATCCTGACAGTAGCTCCACTGTATTTGAATTGTTTCTTTCTGTCTGCTGGCAGTATTTTTCTTTGACTTGGAAGCTCTGGAATTTGACTATACTAATCCTGGAGGTTTTCATTTTAGGAATCTCAGGTGGTGATTGGTGGGGTCTTTCAATTTGTTTTTTATCCTCTGATTCTAGGATATCTGGGCAGTTTTAAGTTATAATTTCTTGAAATATGTCTATGCTCTTTTTTATGGTCACAGCTTTTAGGTAGTCCAGTAATTTTTAAATTATCTGTCCTTATCAGGTCAGTTGTTTTTCCATTGAGATATTTCTCTTTTTCTTTTTCTTTTCTTTTTTTTGACTTTGCTTTATTGTTTCTTGATGTCTCGTGGAGTCACTAGCTTCCACTTGCCCAATTCTAATTTTTAAGGTATTTTTTTCAGTGAAGTTTTATATCTCTGTTTTCATTTGGCCAGTTCTGCTTTCTAAGGAGTTCTTTTCTTCAATGAGTTTTTGTACTTCCTTTTCCTTTTACTCTCTTTTTTTTTAAAGGAGTTCTTTTCTTCAGTGAATTTCTGTCCCTATTTAACCATTAGGTCAATTCTTTTTCTTAAAGCGATATTTTCTTTGGTGTTTGTTGTTGCTGTTGTTGTTATTATTGTTGGTGTACCTCTTTACCAAGCTGCTAATTCTCTTTACATAATTTTCTTTTCCCAACTTTTCCTTTACCATTCTTATCTCTTTAAGTCCTCTTGAAATTCTTGCTGGCCTTGTGTCTAACTAGCATTTTTATTTGAGGCTTTGCTTGTATCTGTTTTCATATTGTTGTCTTCTTCTAAGTTATGTCTTGGTCTTCCCTGCCACTGTAGTAGCCTTTTATCATCAAGTTCTTTTTTTTTTTTTGATATTTGCTCATTTTTTTAGCTTATTTCTTAACTTTGAACTTTATGTTAAAGTTGGGCTCTGCTCACTTATGGGTGGGGAGGCACTGTGCCAAGATTTAGGTTTTTTTCATGCTTCTGTTTTTATAGCAATTTCTGAGGGGTTGAAAATTTTTTTGACTTCCAAGGTGGTATTTTCCTGGTAGAGGTATGGTCAGTGCTCTCCTGGTCTCTGCTATAGAGCCCTATACTTAGTGCTGTGGGGAGCTTTTGGATTTGAAGCCAGTGCTTTCTGAGAACAGGCCTGCCTAGCAGGCTTTTTTTTTTTTTCCAGGTCTTTACTAGATAGGTTAGGGCATTCTAACTCTCCTAGACTTAGGCTCACCATCTTGCCTAAGGCTTGCAACATGCCATATGTTTTCTGGCGTAGTAATTTTGGGTATAATTCAGTGAAGACACTTCTGGAAAGAGCACTGAATTAAGAAGCCTAATTTTGAATCCTGCTTTACTGTTTACTGCCTTTGTGACCTGGGGAAAGTCACTTCAGGTAAACTGGGCCTGACATTTCTCTTCTGAAAAAGTGAGTGAGTTGGACCAGATAATCTCCAAGATCCTCCCCAGGCATAAATCTATGATCATCTGAAGAACCATTCAATTAATGGACCAACATATATTTATTGATTACCTTTCCTGTGCTAGGACCATACTCAACACTGGTTATACAAGTTCAAGGGATGAAATAATCCATGCTCACAAGGAACTTACATTCTAATGGGAGGGGCAACAGCAAGTACATATATAAAAATATGTAATATAAATATAAAACAGACAAGTACTAATATATAGGAAGTAGTTAAATACAAAGTTTTGTGGGAGGAAGGTCATTAGCAGTTCTAGAGATGCAGAAGAGCTTCTTGTACAACATGATGCCTGAGTCCTAAAGGAGGGAGAAGGGGATCTGGGTTGTGGAGGTGAGGAGGAGATCATTCCAGGCATGTGGGATGGCCTAGGCCTGGAGACTTGAGCGATGGGGTGTCATGTGGGAGTAACAGAAGGAAAGCCAATTTGATAGGAACAGTGTTAGAAAATGAAGTAATGTCCTCTGAGGCTGGAAAGCTAGGTTGGGGCAAGATTGTGTAGGACATTAAAAACTAAAAAGAGAAATTCATATGTTGTCTTACTGGGAATAGGGGACCAGAATTTGACTGAGTAGGGAATTCACATTGTCAGATCTGCATTTAAAATATTACTTTGGCCACAGTGAGTAGGAGAAACTGGCAAAGGAAGAGACTTGATGCAGGAAGACCAGTTAGGAAGTAGGCTGTTGCAATAAGTCAGGAATCACATCTATTTTGTTCTTAAAGATGGTCCAGAAATATGTCTTTGAAATGGTACAACTTTACAACCTTGAGAATTGCAAAATTCTGCCTTATATTCAGTGAAAATTTATAACTTTTCATTTAGGCCCACTTTTTTTTCTTGTCAGTACTCTTTGGGAAATATAAAAGTTAGCATCTTTCTCATCAAAACTCATGGAGCACAGTGGAAAGTACACCAGATGTGGAGTAAGAGACCAAATCTTACCCAAGAGAAGTCATTTAAGCTCTTTGCTTCTCAGTTTCCTCATTGGTAAAATGAGGGAGTTAGACTAGATGACTTTAGTAGCTCCTTCCAGCTCTAGATCCAGATTTTATATTATTATATACTGTTGTT